TTCATTAGCCACCTCCCCCTCAAAACAAACAGCAAACAAGACAAGCCATCCTGTCACACATACTCTTTCTATTACAAAGGTTCCACTTGTAAAAAAACACTCTTGTCTATTTCTGTGCTTTTTAACATTTTATCCTCTTACCAGGATGAAGGTCAACAGGACTCACAAATAAAACATTAGAATTTGTTTCACTAGCAAACTAGTACTTTACTGGACACACATACTGTATCAGACTGTGATAGTACAGGCTTCATATGTAACCTGAGCCCAATTTAAAATTCTGAAAAGCAGCTCAGTTGGACTCAGTAATCTTAAGATCATTTATGTGCACTGTTTTCTGTGCAGCATAGATCTTTTTTTTTTTTCCAATCTAAATGATTATGTGATTCTGTTACGCATTTCTGCTACAACAGGTTCAATGTATTATTTAGTTGCTCTTCCAGCTTCTGGGGCAAACCCTACAAGCTCCATATTTCTCTCATATGTTACCAAATAGCACAAGAGCATTCACCTTCAGAAGTTCAGCAGTGCTTTCGCTTCCCCCAGGCCTGCTGTGTAACTTTTTTCCCTACTCATTCACCAGTCTCATCATCATCAAGCTGCAGCTGAGGGACAGATGATAGAATGGATATAATTTGAGGCCTGGTAAACTGCCTCTAATCCCACCTTTTCCTCTTGTTACTCATTTTTGTATGGTGCCTGAATTGCAGCCAGTCACCAGTACTAGCTACTTCAGAGATTAGTAGTCAAGTACCTAATTCTTTCTTCAGTTTGTTCCTTTCTGCAGCCCTAAGGATCCTCCCACAGAACCATTACAGTTAGACAAGCAAAGCAGATTGATAGACAGGACATGCAGAGGAGCACATGTAGAGGGTCTTAAGTCACTGGGACCTCTTTCTGGAGAGTGAGCCCAGCATGGGAAGTTGTGCTCTTTAGATTGGGTCCAGCAGTGCAGACATTCTTGATGTGGCAAGACTGCAAATGGCAAATTGTCAGCCTACTGCTTCAGAGATCCTTTATGATGGAGAAGTTTTCCAGAAATTAGTCAGATGTCTGTTAATTTTCGTACCTCTCAGAAAACCAGGTCAATAAAAGAAGGAATGATTTAGTGTCTAGGAATGGAGAAGGGTGTCCATTAACACTTTATCAAGTATAATTCTACCATGGGAAGAATATATAGAAGTATTTTTGTTATTATCTTAAATTAACCAACACATAATATAAATATAGTCTTTCCATGGCTTCAGTACTTGAGCAACATTTCATGTCTCTCAATCAAGAGAATCTGCACTTTCTGATAGGAAACACCAGCCCGCATGACAGAATGAGAGGGGCTTCTAGAAGTTGCTTATTAAATTCTACATTTTTAAAATATTGTTGGACTTAGTGTTAGAGGTGTAATTGCATGCATTCTCAGCAGGGAAACTGAATTGCTTAAGTGGACGCTTCCTCCAGAGTTTTCTTCTTTGGCAATAAGATGGCTTAATGTAGTTTCAGTTTGGATGAAGCTGTTAATAGGCTGCATTCTTCAGCAGCATCTATTGCTGTAGTAAGTTACTAACACATACTGCGTATGTATTTTACATGGGTACATTACTACGTATTTGAAATCAGTGAGCTTAAACTGTGCAGCATAATTAGAGGAATGAACCTCACATTGCTTTGTCAAAACATTCTTTAATTTCTGGATTTTAGGATTATTGGATTAAAAGATTAGATGGGATGCCTAGAAATCTCAAATCGGAGCATCTAGTAAAGTAATGCTTGTCATGAATCAGTGGTACAGTGTATCTGTAAACCACACAGACTATAAGTTGCTGTAGTAATTGTTCAAAGGTATTTCAATACTAGGACAACAGGATACTGCGTTTGCTCTGACCTCCCCCTTTTTCTAACACATTTTTTAATTTTAAGAATTTAGTAACTTTTCTTCATTATAATCAACTGGCAACTGTAGTCACTCTGAGCTTGGTGTGTGAATCGCTGAACTTCCTTGCCTATATGTTACTAGAGGATTCCTGACACTGACCAGACATTGCATGGAATTCACCTTGCAGTGTATGTTTATTAGTTACATTATGATCACCAAGTACAGCTACAATTTAGTGGCTGTCTCACAAGACATACTTTGTTGTCAAAGAATTCTGCCTTGGTTAAACAGTGTCTCTGAGTCCCAGAAAACATGGTGGACTACAGGCCCTTCTCTTTTTCTCAGTGCAATAGCAGATTCACTGCCAGGTAAGAGTCTTCACACATGGCACACAGAAAGTTGTTCTGTCATTCTATTGTGTCTCACTTCCACAGGAGACTTAGTACTTCAATCCTAGAGGTTTCTGTGAAAAAGATTTCTCTCACTGCTGTCCTGCCCTTGCTTGGTCCAGCATATTGTATACCACACATATAGCAATGGAACACACAAGAAAGACTTTCTATATAGTGTATGTATCTGTGTGTATGAGTAGAGAAGTGATGGCACAATGATAAATATACTATCAAACAAGGAAACTTTGGGACCTGGTTCAAATCCCTCTGAAGAAAAATGCTATGAACTTTATCATGTCAATATTTGAACAGAAATGTTTGGTAAATTCTGCCAGGGATTCTGAACCTATAGGTTTAGAGTCCAGATGTTTCGAATGGGATGGTTAATGTAATAGTACTATGTTACTCTTTCCTGACATGGTTTTGTAAGTATGAGGAAGATGACTTTTAATTAGTGTATTAAAGAGTTTCAAAATTACTAATACTCTGTCATCAAGTTTTGTGAAGCAAACAGAAGAGGAGTTCTGTTCACAAGCAATATGGAGACAGCTGTGCTAGCCATATTCCCAAGCCATTAACAGAATAGTTGTCAGCACTTCAAAGCACCATATTCCCATATCATTTAGTATTTGCACTGCTAAAATGACAGCATCCAAAACAAAAACCAAAATGCTGAAGCATTGCAATATGATGAAGATCATGACTGTCTGAACAGAAAGGTCATTATGGGAAGGTGCAAATCATATTTTTATTTTCTGGGGTATAGAAAATCAAGCTGCTTTGGTATAATTTTGGCATCTTTTAAAATCAAATGGTATTTTTGTCACTGATTTCCACAAGGCCAGAACTGTGCATTTTGGGCCTGACAGTCTTGTCAGGATTTAACATACCTGAACTAGCAGAATTATACGTAGTGACAGCTTTCATATTTTCAAACTGAAACTGTAGGATTAGAAAAATAACAGCTTGTCATTTCTTTCTTTGTTGGCAGAGCTTTATCAAAAATACTTTTTTTTCACTAAATTCCCAGTATTTCAAAAATTTCTGCCTGAAGTAGAACAGAACTCTTCAACTTCCTTAAACATAGCTGTGTTTCTCTTTAACCCAGGGGCTGATACAAAATGATGATACTATTGGGTAGCATAAAATAAGGAAATGAATAGCTTAACAGATGTTCAATGGGATACATTTCTTTTCTCTTTTGTGAGTGCCTGCTCACTACTGTTGAACAGAAAGTATCTGCAATTGCTCCTTGGATGCCTAAACTGAAAAGTCAGTCTGACTAAGTCTTGTCTAAAGAGTCACAGCAGGGGAGTCTCTATCACTGACAAGAAAGGGAGCTCTAAAGTAGGACAGGCTTTTTGCCAGCATGGCCGCTCAACCTGCTGGCAGGGATTGCAGTCTTCAGGTTGTTTCCCCTCGTTTTACACCAGTGTAACTATACTGTCTTTAAAGAGTATAATGGGTACTAATTTAAGCCTGATCAGAGTACAGCCTTTCTTTAACTACATATCCTCCTAAACCACTTATTTCTGTGAGACATCACAGCAAAACTCTTATACAAAAAGCTAGAACACATAGCCTGTAAATAGGATCAGAATTGGATATGAATCACTTCCCACCCCCACCAACAGCCTGTGCCCTTAAGTAGAACTATAAAGCGGAGGCCTTGAAATCAGGAGAAATATCTGGCCTGTTCTGAATTGCTGTCATGGGTCATACTAGCCCCAAAGAGCATGGCACCAACCACACGATTTGGGGGTCAGTAGAACCACCGCTAACTCTCTGTCTGTCAATCAATCCTTTTTGTGTGCCACTAGTTCTAAAAACCCAGTTGGCTTTTAGCTTCTTTGCCTTTTAAAAGATATACAAGATAGTTCTGAAGGTTTTTCTGTTCTCAGAGATTTACAGGAAGAGAGAAACGTGTAGAAGGTTATAGTGTGTGAATCCTGCCATTTAGATTGTAGAAATATTTTTGTAATCAAAAATATCCTTGCCAGAAACAGTTCTTTGGTATTTAGAAATCCTTTGCTAAACAAAGTAAAAATGAATGATAAACAAAATCAAGTTTCCTTTGAGCCTGATGTTCTTGCAGCTGCACTCCACTTTTAAGAGAAACTCATTAGCAATTAATTCAGAATGACACTGGCAAGCAGTCCCCAGACTTTAATTAATATCTTTTTGACAAGCTCATAATCTTTCTAGTTAATAGTCTCTCTTAAATTAGTTTAACTCTGATTTCACTTACCATTGTTAGTAATTGTCATCAAATCTAGGGTACTTTACAGAACATTTTCATTTAAGATACTTCTAAAAAGAGAATTTATAGTTGCATTTTACAGAGTAGAAACCACAATTGACGAAGGTCACCCTCAATCCACAGGCAGAGCTGGAAAGAAAAATCTAGGTTCCTGAATACCCTTCCATTGTTCAATTGATTATGCAACGGTGCTGTCTCCTGTCTCAGTATCTTGCAAGGAAAGGGTTAAATTCTGATTCCAAGTTACATAACTGATTCTTTTCCTTTATGCCAGTATCAAGATCTTAGACAGTTACAGTACAATATTTTAACTATAATACAGTGAATTATTGTCTGTAAATGTTACTTCAATAATATAAATATCAGTATAGGACAATCTAGAGGTCAAGTTTTCATTTAAAATTGTGCTCTCAATATATGTGTCTTATATGTGCCCTTAAAGCTTTGTGTCAGTTTTACCTGTATGTCTCAAATACAGAACTGACCTACATGACAACTTTATGCAGCCACATTACTGTGTTCTGCAGAATAAGAGAGAATACTGTGAATTGGAAAAGATGTTGAGACAAAATCTCCTTTGACCTCTGGGTAAGTTAACAACTTTTACATAAATATTATGAAACATGCTATATGTGTGCCTCTTGCATATGTGTATTATGAGGGAAAAAAATATTTACTCACCTGAAACCATTTTTTATGTAGATGATGTAGTGAAGTAATTTTTGATATGTAAGATCACATCGGTGTTTCTACTTTGCCTACAAATTAAACTGAGAGGTGCACAAGTTACTGTCAGGCTTTGAGTCTGATAAGTTTTTTCAGGATTTAGAAAACTCCAGCTACTGTAGTGTAAGTCTTAAACTGATTACATCTACAAAGAAATTATATCTTTTCATTTTAAAGCTAATTAATGCCTAGTATCCAACAGACAATTGTAAGAAATATCTGTCTAAGCATTGGATGACTCTACGGTAACGCACTGCCAGGGAAGATGGATGTAGGGTAATTTTTGAAGGTAAGTTTTGCTAAGTGAGGATATAAGAAGTTTTAATTTGGTGATTCACAGGGATGACTTGTAATTTTTACTTCTCATGTAAGATGAAGAATGAGGTAAAATGGGGTATGAAAAAAAACAAGATTTGCTTATTAGTCTCCTCTGTCTCCTCCATCTTACATAAATGTAAAAACCTAATTTAAAATTCTGTCTCATTAGCAAAAACTAAGATAATCAAGATGGCTGAGAAAGGCCAGGGGTGTTACGCAACTTCATAGGGATCCTGAGACCAGAACACATTTCACAATCTCTAGAAGTCATGAGCAGTCTGTCTGCGCTCCAGAGTATTTGTCTAGGACATGTAAAACTGAAAATAACATGATCCAATCGCCTTCTAGAACAGTTTTAGAGTTTTAGTAGCAGTAGGCATCAACTTGTACCGTGAGCTTAGAATGCTAACTTTACACAAAGGAGTTATTTTAGGTTGCTTCTTTGTCTTTGTTTTTTCCTTAAGTCAACACTGGGGGGGGGGAGGCAACAAAAGGAGCCCTAAAAAACAAGACAGGTATTAGTTAGTGAGGAGAGGTGCAAAAACATGTTTTAAACCAGTAGGATATTCCTCAGCTGAATTTCTACAGTTTTTTCTCAAGTGCCTGCTGCCTATGTCAGTATCAGCATGCTGAACTAGAGGCCTTATTGCTGTGACAGTTCCTGTGTTTCTGTGGCAATGATCATTCCGTTCCAGAAGCCACAAATTAGAAAATGGTTTCTCACAGTGAAAGACCAAACGAAACACAACATGATCTTCCTCCTTTCTCATGCATGTTAACTGTAAAAAGTTTCTTTGTCTGGAATGTGGCTCTGATTACATTTCTCAATCCAAAAATAAACATGGTGCAAAAGGAAAGGATATAGGGAGGGGGGGAAATGCTGTCAATGGGCCACCCTCAGGAAAACCTCACAAGATCTACTCTCTGTCTGTGCAAGCCATGGAAGAGCTAAGGAAGTGATCCCAGCTTGGTGGTCTTATTTTTAATTAAAACAAATGAGGCTCTTTCAGCTGCTGCAGATAAATATTTGATGAAAAGAGACAGGGACAGATGTCAAAAAAATGTAGTAAATAAAGAATAAGACCAGAAGAGCAAATGTTACAACAGCATTTTATATATATTAAAGAAAAAAAAAAACAACAAAAAAACAAAACAAACCCAACTTTACAGATTTCTGTCAAAGGCCTAATTTTACTAAGATGATTCCAAAAGCGGGAAGACTAATTCTTCATACTCTTTCTGACAAAGTAGAATGAAAATACAAATGCACATAGATAAAGAAACGTTTTTAAGTCAACATGCTGCACATTATGTGCTTTAAACAAGGCTTCAGAGTCATATCCATACTTCTATAAGAATTGATATTAGTTTGACTAGCAGTTTTGCTCCAAAATACACGTTAAGGATGCACAGTGAGAAGGTGCCTAGCAACATATATTAGCAACAATCTCGTTGCAGTAATGTGTCATAACATTCATAAGTCTTGTCCTTTGTGAGTGGTTCATTTCAAAAAGTAAACAAGATGACCTGCCAAGGTCTTTTCCCCCTTCAATTACTCTGTGACTTGATAGCACTGGGTCTGGATTTAGCTCACCTTTTAGCAAATTCAGTTATAGGTTCTGTGAAAAAAAAAACAATTATTTAATGTAAGTAACTTAAAAATAGGTCATAAAAGAAAGACGAGTCACGAAATAGAGGAAGAATCTCAGTAGATTCTCAGCTCTTTCAAGATGAATCTTTATTGTTAGCATTATGTTGGTGTTGCCTGCTAGTTTAAGGTCTGATGTTGCCATTCCTGCGTAAAATGTATATTTCCATTGACTCCAATGTGGATTATACATCTGAATATGAAAAAAAAATTTTAAGAGTAGACCTTACAAAACTGTACAGTGAGTGAACCACAGAAGTTTAATGGAAGTATTTAATGTGACACCAATATTTAAAAATAGCACTGTGATTCAGGTCACCAGGAGCAGGATAAATTTGTATAATCCAAATTCTGAAAATAGAGTTATGAATTAATGTAGTTCTGAAATACGTACCTGACTCTGAAGATGTTTAAGAAGAAAAAGTGAGAAGTTGATTGACTGCAGTGCTTAAGGATCTACATGGAGATACTATAGAGCTATGGAGTCCAACAGTAGGCACAGGTAAAAGCAGAGAAACATCTGGTGATGTAGAACATAAGTTAAACAAATTCAGATGAGAGATGAAGAACAAATTTTAAACACTGAGGAAAAGTAACCATGGATTGCAGTGAACTTTCCATATTTGGAGGTAAATAAATCAACCTACAATTGTAATGACTAGGTATATATCACATGGAAATCAAACTTGTGCATACAGCAGACTTTCTGATAAAGTTCTAAGTATAACTCCATTTAAGTCAATTACAAACCCCAGCAGCTTTGGATAGATATTGAGTGAGGCTGAAGGTGAGAATCAACTCTGAGAACAATCAACTTAATACCCAGTAAGGACAGAAAAAATGTGATTCTTTATGAGTGGTGCCTGGGTTAGGAATTCACAAAGAATGAGTTGCAAGGATCTCTGAACACTTTAAGGGACCCTTGCAGAGGATGATGGCATTCGGCAAGGTCAGAATTCCCCCAGTTAGCATGGCATTACCATACCCAGCTGAGAATTTACATGGAACCTGACAGCAGCTACCCTCTTTATTTAGTCTCAGGCTATCTATGGGCTGTCAACATATGATGCAGACAAACTGTTGTACAAACACAGAATTTATGGGCTGATAAAGCAATAAATAAAACATGTAGGCAGAGGGGCCAGCTTTACTTCTCTTTTCTAAACAAGTGTAAGGACTACAAAATGTACAATGCCAAATCTATGGCATGTCCAGTGCAATACATGAGAGAGGCAGGGAATTGGTACATACGCTACTTCTGTATGTCTCAAGCTGACTGCAGGTAGAATATGATTCAGCATCAGATCAACAGAGTGCCTGCACTAGATTCACATGCAGCAGTTGTAGATAAACACTCAAAATACCCACACACAAGTTCTGTGCTGCTGGAGCTATGTCCAAGCAGTATTGTCATTTACACAGGCAGAAATTGAGCACTTTTCTAAGAAACTTCCTTTCTATTTTTCAGCATGCAGAGGAAATAGACCAGAGGTGTGTTTGGTGTTCCTAATCATGAGTGATGTGCTATGTAGAGATCCACTTCTGAATCTCTACATGGACTTCTGTGCCCAGTGAAATACAGGCAGAGAAAAAACAAATTTCTTCAATTCCTTGTTAAAAAAGGTAATGAGAAGGCCCCAGAATAATAATCACTCCTTCTTCTCCTTTACAGATGAGATTAAGGCAGACAGAAATTAAAGGACTCACCAAGACTTTGCCACACAGTCAGGATTTAAACTCAGAACTTCAGAATCCAACCCCAGTGCCTGAACCACACATTCCTTTGCTTTTCTGTATTCCCCTACAGTCTTAGGCCATGTGGCCACTATTGATGAAATGAAAAACAGGTGCAGATCCATGAACAGATGGGAGCCCAGCCCTGGCTGATCTCTGGAGGATAATACAGTGTTGTTTTCCGGCAAAGGACTCCAGAGAACCACAGAGGCAGCCCTAAAAGTGAAGCTGCTCTGCCTCACACTAAATATCTCCACCAGCCCAGCAAGAGGGAGTTTTGAGGCATGGTCTGTTTGTCAGCAAGGACACTGCCTTACTGACCTCTCAGGCTGGCAGTATTGACATCTCTGGTTTTCAGGCGTTCCTATAAAGGTTGTAGAAGACTAATCGCAATCCCATTCTTTGCAGTAACAGCAGCCAATGTTTCTAAGTTGCTGAAACATAAAATTTCTTCCCTTGAGTAGACAATTTTGGAATGTCTAACCCTCAAAAAATGCCATTAGTCATACGCAGAATCTTTCTCTGGGAAAATCGGTAGTGGTATGAGACAAATCAGCCAGGTAAGATGAATAATATATTTGTTCTGGATCTGTAAGGATAGATCTACTTTTAATTTCCAGTTCATGGAGAGCTGATGGCTTACTCCACAATATGTGGTTAAGCAAAGAATTTGGACTGCTTTCTCACTGGGAGAGAGATGGTAGGTAACTAGTAGGGTAATTGCCTGATCCTTAGTGCAGGATGGAGTGCCAGGATGCAAAGTACTTCCCTGGCTTATGTGACCCACAGTTATAGTCCCTGCAATGGTACAAGACACATTTTCCCTCCATGTGTCACCTGAAACATCAGCTGGAAGTATTAGAGAAGACATTGTGATCCTCAGTTTCCTCAGATCCACAGAGCACGTATCAAACCCAAGAGGATAACACATGCAAGAGGACGGTATGTTTCATGGAATCATAGGATAGTTTGGGTTAGAAAGGGCCTTTAAAGATCATCTAGTCCAATCCCCCTGCAGTGAGCAGGGATATCTTTAAGTAGATCAGGTTGCTCACAGCCCCATCCAACCTGGACTTGAACACTGCCAGCAGTGGAGCACCCACAGCTTCTCTGGGCAACCAGTGCCAGTATTTCTTCAGTGTGCATGTCCACTTGTGCCAAGAAAATCTAATAAGACCTGATTGCTTCCTTAGATTCTATTTAAATTGGGGCCACAAAACCTGATTTGCAACAGTAGGCCAAGGCCACACTGCTAACAACATGTATTCTGCTCATGCTAAACAGTATATCGAATTGTTTGGGAAAATCTATTTTATCCCAGTTTTAAGCAGGTTTTGAAGGAAAGCATTCTCCACAGATGACACTAATAGAATTTAGCAGCAAAGACCACCCAGGACACTGAGAATTTCAAACTGTTTGGCCTCAGTTTCTCTGATTCATTCTTCTCAGCTTCATGTGTGCTCTTTGAGAGACAAAAAATAGCATTTCCTTAATTTTGAACTTCGATTTCTCTTCCAGCTGAACATTCGTGAAAGCAGCTGGTCCCAGAGGTGGAACATTCCAAAACCCTGTTTGGAGCCAAGTGAATACGTTATGGAGTCAGTTGTGACACCACTTTATAGAGAACAGACAATGAGTTTTGGATCTCGTAAGTACCTTTTATCCCTGCAAATAAGTTCCCTTCCCCCATTCTTTTGGAAACATCTCAGTCTGTATTGGAAACAGAGGATGTAATTTATTTTTATCGCCTTCCCTGTCAAACTGGCCAACTGCCACAGGGTTCTGCTTTCAGATGTAGCAAGAGGCAGGAGAATCACAGTGACAAACCATTCATTTCAGTGGCTCCTCCTGTTTCCTTATCTTATTTAGAGGCTACCTACTGTGCTCCCTTATCACTCTTTCTAATCCTGCAAAACTTCTCTGCAACTACGCCCCTCCACAGAAAAAGCTGACCTGTTTAGACCTCTCTGCTTCTCTACTCCTGTTCCTTTCCTCAGAGAGCAAGTTGCTTCTTCCTTTGTTACTTTAGAACTCCTTTTTCAATTCCTATCTTAGTCACTCTCTCCTTTTCCTAGTTCATTGTATTGCATTAAATTTCCTAGCTGAATGCACATACAGCTGTGTGGCTTCCTTCGGGTATGCTTAATTTCTCACTGTCCAGCCTGCCCTTTGATGTCTGCTGAAGAAGGATACATCTTCTTTTCCATCTTTTCACATGTGCCTATTAATTACTCTCTTCAGAGAGACTGTTTACTGACTATCTCTCTGTTTACAGTTGAATACAGCTAAACATTTGGTCTTCACAGTTCTTCTTATACACCACCCACCCAGTTTCTTCCCAATTGTTGCAGAATAGATGTCTCCAAATCACTTTATAAAGTCACAGATGCATTGTAGTTGGATTCCCACACCCAGCCTCCTGCTCTCAAACACTGTTTTTGCTTCAGTTACAGAGATGTAAAGAAAGATTTTGTATTGGTAATTTTGTCTCTAGTTCTCTAATTAAAAAGAAGCAGTGGGGCTTAACATTTTGACCTTTCTGTTGCACGTATTCCTACCTTGGGCACTGTAGAGAACCCTTAAAGCTCTGTAAGTATCAGACTTCTGACCTGTGAAGAAATAATACGAACTCAGTATCAAGTACAGAAGAATGCCCACTGAAGTTAGGAGGGTTATCCTATGCATAAATTGTGCATATGTCTTTGTGTGACCAGGAACCTTGGGTAGGGGGAATTTTAATATGCTGGGGAAGGATAAAAATTATTCTAGCAAATGTGCAGAAGAGAAGAATTATATGGTTATAATACAGCAATTGAGATCTAAGATGAAAATTCCTTCAGATGTCCTTCTCATTCCATACGGAGCTTAAAATATTACAAAATAATATGAAATAAATGTAAAACAAATGTGGACTAAATTATGTTTTTTCCAAAGAAGAGATTATTGTCAATCACAGGACCATAAAATGGTTTGGGTCAGAAGGGACTTTAGAGCTCATGTAGCTACAACCCCCTGCCATGGGGCAGGGACACCTTCCATTAGACCAGGTTGTTCCAAGCCCCATCCATCCTAGCCTTGAACACTGCCAGGGATGGGGCAGCCACAGCTTCTCTGGGCAACCTGTGCCAGCACCTCATGGAGAAGAATCTCATCCTATCTAACCTAAATCTACCCTCTTCTAGTTTAAAGCCATTACCCCTTGTCCTATCAGGAATGCTCCTTTAACTGAAAATTGCCTAAAAAATCTATCAGTTTAATAAGCGTATGTTCAGTATAGACTTATTAGATTTGGGTTGAATGAGGCTTTCCATGTAGTAACTCCCTCAAGGTGAGTGTAATGCTGCATGCCAGAACTGAGAAGGACAACTTACTCTCTGTTCTCCTGCCCCCGCTGCTCTCTTCTGTATACTGAGGAGGGTCAACTGCTGCTGTACCTAAATGAAGCAGCCCCAACACTGGGCCTGGAAGGAACAGAAGCCAGCATGCTTCAGACTGGAAGGGAAGGACTGGACCTAGAGCTGGAAGCCTGAAGGGATAAATCCTCAATGATGGCCAAGCAGCCAGGCAAGAAGAGGCACAGGTAAGGGAGGCAGAAGTGTCTCTGACATTTACTTATGGATGCTGGAAGGAACCTTGCGTTGTTGAATCTCACCAATGATCTTCACACTGGAGCAGTAAATGGGCATCACAATAACCATGTTACTAGTTAAATAGCAGAGGCATGTACCTGGAAATGACAAATTTTAAGCTTGCTTATAACTGATACAGTTTGGAGACCATATCTTATGGTACAGAAGCTGGGGGTAGGGCGAGGGCAGGGACAAGGGAGGAAAGAAGTCCAGGAAGACCCATGGAAGCACGTACAGACAGCTCAGTTTACGTGGCCTGCTAGTCAAAAAGTCAACAGTTACAGAAATGTAGAATTGACTGGTGTGTGGCTGTGGTTATTTTCCATCAGTTGTCATGGATATGCAAAATAGCCACACCAGAAAAATAGACAGCGAAGCTTAACAGACACATACCATTTTTGGTTTCATTCACACTCTTTTCCCTGATACCCCTGATATTCCTTTAAATGCAGAATCTGTATTTATATCCAAAAAACTTTTATAAAGAGAGCTTTATTGACACATTTGTTATACTTCTATATAACATGATAATGACAACCAGCTGGCTACAGCTAATGACAGGCACTAATTCATATTGGGTTACTACCTTCATGTTCTGCAGGCTGTCACTTTCTTCCCGCCATTTTTAGCATTCTTGCCCTCTTGTACTTGCATTTTATGATGCTCATGTTTACTATTCTTGCATGCTAGGAAAAGAATGAGCATTTTAAAAGCTTTATGTTTAATTACACTTGCAGCTATTACTTGGTCACATAAACAAATTAAATGGACATTTAATTAAATGTTACCCTTTTAAAAGGGTAAACTGGAAGCAGAGCCTATTGACTGAACACTGATATTGCGTGCATTTATCTTAATTAGTCAGGTAGTGTTAGGGATTAACGTACTTTAGCTGTTATATCCATAATCAAATGCATTAGCATTTATGTCTTTGTAGCATACAGAATATCAGTTAAGATGTGAGCTCTCTCCTGCTGGGTAATGTACAAACAGAACTTGAAGTGTATCTGAAAGACCCCCTTCCTAAGTCACCTTTAAAGGAAAATACTGCAATAGCCTCTCCAGCTTTTGCAGGTGTGAACTGACCATTCTGATGACAATTCAAACCCTGATCCAAAAATATCCCCCACCTTATCATTTTGTATTTATATACAGGAGAATTCTCTCTTATGGAGAGAGATGGGGATTTTTCATCCATAGAATCATAGAGTAGTTCGGGCTGAAAAGGACCTGAAGATCACCAAGCTCCAACCCCCCTGCCATGGGCAGGGATGCCTGGCACTAAACCACGTCACCCAAGGCTTTATTCAGCCTGGCCTTGAACACTGCCAGGGACGGAGCATTCACAACTTCCTTGGGCAACCCATTCCAGTGCGTCACCACCCTCACAGTAAAGAATTTCTTCCTTATACCTAATCTAAACTTCCCCTGTTTAAGTTTGAACCCGTTACCCCTCATCCTACAGTCCCTAATTCCATTCTAGCACACTGAGATTCTAGTCTGAGTGAAGGATGGTGCTGCAGTAAATATCAAGCCCAAATGCCTCAAAGACCTCATCTGATTTTGTAAGCAGTTATTTCAGAGGTCAGAGAAAATCATTTGGGAGTAGTCTGGAGCACTGAATCTGGTTGTACAGCAAACAGTGGGCTATTTAGTGTCTTTCCAACAAACACACAAACTAGGGCTACTGATTAATTCCGCTTCTGTGATAAGCTAATGCTTCTGATCATCTCATTTATGGATTAAAATGCAAAGTAATGAATACTCCTCAGATACCTCGTTCTACAGATGAGTTTATAATCTCATATTTGGAGAACTTATTTTTATAGTGATTGCTACAGACTCATTCATGTTCATGAAATTTCTTTAGTTGTGTTTGGATCTGTAAGACTAACCTCCTCCAATTCCACCAAAAGTCTTTATTTTTCCTTTTTGCATACTGGATAGAGAAGGTGTGCATTTAATGCAACACTGTGTGTCAGAACTTCCACGGGCATAAGGAACCACTTAATTTACTTACGTAAGTAAGTAATCTAGCAAACTAGTGAAACAGCCTGTTCTGGCATTTCCAAGAGCTTTCCTTAGTCACTAAAATACAGTGGAGGGGGGTCAGAAAAAGCCTCAGCACAAAAATAAGAAAGTAGGGCCTCAAATCCACATTACTACAATAGCAAGACACTGTGGTTCATTTTGTACAAGAGTTTGATGTCATGTCCATTTATTTTGAATAATTTCCTCCTGGATTTTTATCTTTTCTAAGAGCTGAATTGTTGAGTTTTCCGAATCAAACACAACTTACCATGTTGTTCAGAGGTTTGATGGAAAGAGATCTCCAGCTATAGGACCTGCATAGGTTTCTCATGCTTTTCAGAAGTCCAGGACTAGCAGTAGTCTATGTTTAACACAGACTGAATTTAGAATTATATTGTAAATTGCTTTCCCATCTGTTCCATCACACTTGGCAGCAGTTACTCTTCTGATAGTTTATATTTAATTCCTTTGTCTCTCTATATTTAGGTGATACTGTTAAAAATGCAGTGGATCTCTCCTGAAAATGAAGCAACTGTGGTATTCTTGTTTCTCTAGTTTACCTGAAATAACCAGAATTCCAAATATTTAACTTAGCCACTGACCTTAATGGATCTGCCCTTCATCAGTTATGATCAACATTATGAGATTTTTATCTCACTTGGTATTTGGTGTAATTTTTTGGGGGGACTGTTCTTAATCAGTTTTTATTTAACAGATGTGGCTAATTGCATCAAAACATTTGAAAAACCAGGAGAGAATTGAAAGAGCCCAGATGATTTGCAGTTTCAGAGCCTAAGGCCACTTGATCAGACCAATACAAACAATCCCAGGGGACTGCAGACAGCTTGACTAGCTGTCATACTGAACATGCACATGCAGTTGCTTGTGGTATCAGTTGAACAGTATGTTTGTGTTTTAACCAGGAAGTAAACTCACAGTATTTTGCAATGGCATCCAGGTTGACAGTGGGATTAACTTCAGGAAAACAAATGATGGTTAATCAGTACAAAACACCACCCAAAAATGGCACCTGACTTAATCTGCACTTGATAGCAGGAGTTGGAAGGGAAAAGAAAGGATTGTGGCAGTCTCCTATTAGTACCATTTTCCCCCTTCCTGGAAAACTTTTCCCTCACTTTGCTGAGCAGGTGAGCAGCAGAAAGGCAGGACCTGGCGCTGTGCCTGTCACCAAGGATGCAACCCTCCATCCCTGCGTTTGGGATGCCCTGTAATCAGGGCAGCCATACTGTGGCTCTCACCTCTGGCCACATCTTGTATGGATGGTGTCTGGAAGCAGGAAGGTGTCAGCTTGCTTTCTCACTCCTACTGAGCCTTCTTGAACCCCACTGTTGAAGTGCTGCCAGGCTTCCAAATTGGGACAAAGGATCTCTTCCTTCTACAGGACATTTTAGTATCCACAGGTTAGGTATACTAGGAAGCATAAGGTATTAATGTTACAAACAAAAAGCAGTTTACCATCCAGATTGTCTTTTACATTTTGGTTTTGTTCTGCCATGATTTCCAGATGCTAATGGGGAAAATGTTGATTCATTCTTGGAACAATGTTAACTCGTACATAAAGAACCCACAATCTTCTTTTTACCATCATTTACTCAGTGCTGGAGGCAAAAAAGATTAAGTCCATTTTAAGCCTCTCCCAATGCTTTAGATTTAGAGGAAAGCTTTCCTACAATAATCCAAATGCTCATTCTAGCAGAATTGTATTTCTCAAAGGTATTGAAGGACTTGTGGTCAGAAAGTGTATGCAAACAAGACAGCAGTAGTAAATATAAAGAAGAGGAAATGTCATTTTTACTCTCTTGAAGCTTCAAGTGATAAATTTGTAATAGGTCTCATCCAGAAATGGGGAGAGGAGTAATGATGGATACTCACAGGCTGGATCTACTATTACTACTGGAGTAAATTACAATCGAGAATGCGTGCTAGGGAAGGCAGCAGGGCACCTCAGCACCTCTTCCAGAGCTTACTAAAGACGTACTAGAAGACATACTTACAAAGTTGAGGCTCACCTCCCATATTTGGCCAGACCTTGTTAGATTTGCCAGTGGTTAAAAGTCCTAGCTTATCAGAACTTGCCTGTATAGGTATGTTGACAGTGTGACAGCGTAAACCAGATCTCAAGATGATAATTGGATTTTTTAAGGTTACAAAGGACAGTATCAAGAGTTGGAAAAGATGCAGTACACAGCAGCCATGCTGACATACACCGCATTCAGTGAAACATCATAGCTTCATATGTACAGTATCTATTTGCTTGTCTTTGATGTGCTTTTCCCAGGGGTATTTATTTAGAAAAGAGTTGAAAAAATGAAAGTTTCAGCCAAGTCTGCTTGTTGAGGCTTTTGGCTTAAACAGATGTGGACTAAGGACTGCATGAAGATTTCCCCACTGTATGGTGTATGCCTTGGACATAGTACTCTTGCCATATTTTTTCATTTGCCCTCGCAGAAATTTTAGAAAATGTGACAATGTTAATTTCAAGCTTAAGATACAGATTCCCCCCTCCCTTTTTTATTACCTGAAGCCTACATAAATGCATTGATTCAGAAGTAATTCGGTGCTGAACTTCAATTCACGAAGGGGCTTCAGCCTTAGAAACCTATCTTAAGGACAGGCAAAGTAGAGGAACAAGATATAACAGGAAGCATATACCTGTGGCTCAGCTCCTGCTCCCAGATTACTATTTGCCTATGAAATCCCCTTTGTTCCTCAGTGAATGCAGGCAGGGTACTGCTCCTCCTCGCCTTGCTGAGAATTTCTCTATTTGCTTCACAGGAAGTAGAAACAACACTTCTTGTGCCTGCAGCTTATGCTGTGTACTTTGAGAAAGGATGTTAGGTTTTACTTAGATAAAGGTGGAAGCTGATTTTG